AAAAGTGATGTGATGGCAGTTCGCATTAACGCAGTTCTTATTTGACGGCATCAAGGCTAAGGACTCCGAGATTGGAAAACAATGACAGCTTCACAGCATGCCAATTTGTCTAGCCTTATAGATGGTAACACATAAAATGGGACATCTCCTACCCCATAAGATATATATACACCTATTCTAAACCAGTATCAGCAGACGAATCACTATGGTTATATCTATTCCTATGTCAACTTTTCTCAGCTGTACAATTATCATCATGAAACTTACCATAGAGCTTCTCTTTCTACATAGCTTTAATATAAATGTTCAGTCTAAAAGTAGGTTCTTGTATGAAAAACTTTTTGTTAATTGATATATCTTGGCCGAAATTCGGCATTTATTAGTTTCACTATGCTCCTTACATGCTCCTCTTTCCAAACAAACCCTATATAACTTTCAACATATCTTGACCAACTACAGCATAATTTGCACCATCAATTTGCTTGTATAAATACATTTCGAGGGTAACACATAAAATAGGATATCTACGACCCCATAAAATATATATACCTTTTCTTAGCCAGTATCAACAGTCGAATAGCTAAAGTTTTTTCCTATTTTTATGCCAACTTTTGTCACACTTCTAAAACTATCCTCATCAAACTTAGCACTTGGGAGCATTACAATACGTTATCAAATCGAAACCAGATGATATATGGCTTTAATAGCAGAAATCGGTTGCCAGTAAAGAGTTTATATAAAAGCGATTCTAAACCTTTTCTCAAATCCCTGCATAAAATCGCTTCTATTAAAGAATAATCTTGTGCAGCTGTAGTTAAGATTAAACAGCATTTACCTGAGTAAACCGCGCACATACAGGTACTTCAGAGATATTCGTTAAATGCCGTAAATTGTATACCACTGCCGAGTGCCACTTGGCACCACACACACACAGACACACACACACACATGCAGACACACGCACAGCCAAAGGACGATAACACTTAACGCCACTTATCAGCTTTATCCACCGCGCTTGTCATCAAGACATTAGGCAGACTACAGACTTAAGCGCCACACGCCCAACCACCCCCACACACATACACACACACACACACACACACACACACACACACACACACATAAACACAGAAGTGGCTCGATTGCCTCCGTTGCAACCGCAGAGTAACTTGCCCCCAACTTGCCACCCTCCACTTCACTCACATTGCAGCACCGCAACGCTGATAAATTGCAACAAATTTGGTGACTGCAGCCTTGACAATTTACTCCGCCCCCTCTCGAAACCCGCACTCCCCTCCTTCCGCCCTTTTTCCCAAATGAAGTGACTAATGCAATTATGCATTAATTTTAAAAGCGTTCTTCAGATATATTTTCAACATTTCCGCAATGGGCGCCAAGTTTTGCGCCAGCTTTTGACAAAATACATTTGCACTTTGATTTCCGCCAACTCTGCAGACATGACAAAAACGCTCTGGCGAATTGCGGACGTGAGAGGGGGTAGGTGGTCGGTGCCCCGCCCCCTTTACTAGGGGCTGCATGTGTGGCAAAAAAAAAGGGTGGTTTAGTTGGGATTGATCGACTAGGAGATACCCCGTACATCCTATATACTCGTGAGCTACATATACATACCCATATATACATACACACACACACACACACACAAGCACATAAGCACGCTCGCTGTGCATGTGCTTCTTCTTCCTTAGCTCGACATATGTCTGGGTAATGCATTCTTTATTAACTTGGGTTTTTATAATGCGATCTTTTTGACATTTTCAGGGCTTTAATCTGACACCCAAATTTTCGTAAATACCAAAGAGCAAGATTTATTTGAAAATAAATTTCTCCGCCAAGTATGCAAACATTTAAATATTCATTTTCTGTGTATTCAATTTGAGAATATGAAAATGGGTGTATCTAGGTTTCTATAATTCTTCTCTTCAAAATCGATACTTATCGATATTATGGAGATGGGAAAAAATATGACAAGCTTGTTCGGTGCTTGATGTACGGAGAATAAGTACTTCATATTTCAAGAGCAGCGCTTTTTAAGTTTTCGGAATCAATCCGAAGAACAGACAGACAAAAACAATATTCCCCTTTGAACCATTTCAATGGGTTTAGGGTATAAAAAGTCGGCAAGTAATGAGACAATATTGTGTAGAGGGGAAGGAGGTGTTGAGCTGGGGAGCTGTCGGTGACTGCCAAATGTGCAATGCGGTTGGATAGATACGCAGCAGCGGCATTCACGGCTAGGTGAGCACACACAGAGAGAATCAGATAGAGAAAGAGAAAGAGAGAGAGAGAGAGAGAGAGAGAGAGAGAGAGAGGGAGACTGGCAAATGGTGTGCAATCAAATGTGCGCTACGCTATGCGACCATGTGGCATGGCTTGAAGGATGCTGCAACTCATGCAACATTTAACCAACTTTTAATTATCGTACTTGAGCCAAGTCGCTGCACTTGGAGGCGGCCACAGCGCGACTTGCAACAGCAGCGGCAGCGGCAGCGGCAGCTCAATTGTTTTACACACACAACAAATGCATACATATACATACATATGTGTGTATATGTGTGTATATAGCATAACATACATATGCATAGGTTAGTCCAACTGTCTGCTCTGGCTGCTGCAGCTGCTGCTCCTGTTGTTGTTGTTGTTGCTGCTGCTGCTGCTGATGCTGGCTTTTCTTAACTTTTTCCTCTGCTAAATGCTCTAATTACGCCTAATGGAATGCCACTCATATAACTGTTGAGGAGGGGGGAGCGGGGGTTCGGTTACTGCATATGTATGTGTGTTTTTATAACTGTTTGACTCTTGTGTCTGGCTCTATGTCTGTCTCTATCTATGTTGCACTGTCTCTCTGTCACTCGGTCTGTCTCTGCATATTCATGAGTTTTTGTGGCACGGTTCGTTGTACGTTCGAGTTTTTAAGCCAATTTAAATAAGTGAAGGGGCAGCGGGTAAAATCAAGGATATGCTGCGAGAGGCATAGAGATAGCATGGCAACGCAAGGGGGAGGGAGGGAGGGTACGCTGCGGCTTCGTAGTGGCAGTAACCCACATTTGCCATGTGCTTATCCTTGCTCTAAAATATGCAATCAAAAGGTTTGGGTTCAAGCGGGCGTATTGAATTTAAATATCCATGTGTGCTCTGATGTAAAAAGAAAATTAATGCAGCTTTAAGTGTTTCGATAAAAGCTTGATAAAAGCAAAACACAAAATATTTTACAACTGTCATAAAATTAAATAAAGCGTGTTTAGTTCAATCAAAATAAAGAAATCTCTAAAAAAAATGTCTGTTTATCCTTCTAGGATATCTGAAAGTGTAGCATGCGCAACAGTTTTACCTATTACTATTTCATTTTGTCAAATTTTTGGTATCAATTAACAGTCTTAAAGCTATTCTGTCTTGAAATGATTAATACAATTATAAATGTTACATATCTTTTTTCCATATACAATCCTTTTTAGTCATTACAGGATATTTGACAGTCGCCCATCTTGTTTAGTTATCCTAGTTGTACTTGCGCTTCGTTTCTTTCTGTCCAAGTTCCTCTAACAGCAGCTGCTTTAGTTGGCCTTTAAGCGTTATGGCTCTTGTTAACTACACACCAACACACACGCACACACTCATACACACATACACACACATAATGGCAGTCAGTTTATAAATAATGCAAGCATTTATCTCACCCGAAACTCAAACTGACCAACACAACAAACAAACGCTGGCCACATAGTATCTTCTTCTTCTTGTTGTTGGCATTATAGTGTGGCATTTGCATAACTGCAGTTTATTCTAACAATTTGAATGAATATTTAATTAGTTTTAATTGAATATGGCAACATTTTGTAGACTCGCATATGAAATTTGAGGGAGAGCTCATTAAAATAAATATATTAAAAGTTGAAGAGAAAAAAAAGCGCTTAATAATTAAAAAGCTTGCGGGCTGATTGAAAAGTTTAAAGCGTGAAAGAAATGAAAGAACAGTGGGGAAAAATTAAAAAAATAATAAGAATCTGAATTAATTTAATTATATGCAACACACAAATGAATATTGAATTAAAAAAGTGCTTAATTTCTGTAAGATGAATGCCAAACAGAAATGCAAGCAATGCTAAATAAAGCAAATCTCTAAAAGGCATATAATACCATATAATAATCGAAAGTGTTTGTGAAAATTTCATGTCTACTGCCATTTGACAGGCTATTAGCTCGCTCTCATCAAAACGTTTACGAATGCTACATAAAAAGCAGTAACAGAAGAGACTCAGTTTCTGCCCAATCGACAATCCACAGATAAACAAACATTTGCTTTGACAATTACGCATACGCAACGCCGCAGCAAAGCCGAATGCTGCGCAATTAGAAATAAAGGAATCAATTGCTACATATTAATGATGTCGCTGAAATAATATCAAATTTTATTAAATAAACTGTAAATGCAGTCCAATCAAGCGTGCAGATAAATAAACATTAGCTTTTCCCAGGTATTGCTCACTGCAAAATATTACGCATACGCAACGTCTCAGTAAAACGTTTACGAATGCTGCGCAATTAGAAATAAAGGAAACAATTGCTATATATTAATGATGTTGCTGAAATAATATCAAATTTTATTAAATAAACTGTAAATGCAGTCCAATCAAGCGTGCACAGATAAATAAACATTTGCTTTTGGCCCGGTTTGGTTTACTGCGAAATATTACGCATACGCAGCGTTGACTTAAGCGCTATTGTATGCTCGAAGCAATTGTGGCTGCTCGAGCATGAATTGCCGCCAAGTTTGATTTTTTGGTATTAGTCAAACAAAGTTGTAATTGGCCAATGCTCGCGCAGCAAACACAACATGCAACATGTTCGCAGTCATGGAAGCAGCCAGCGCGCGCTCTTATACGCCAAACGTGTTGGCATCGAACTAAAACCAACTACCGTTACGTTCTGCATTTGCCGTTGGCATTAAAATATACGCGACCGCTGCGCTTATTGGCCATTCGTGTGTGCGACGCTGACGCAGACGCTCGTGCCCAGTGTCTCTCGGTCGCAGTCTGTCTGTGTGCGTGTGCGTGTGCGTGTACGTTAACGGTGTGTCGAACTCGTGACTAGTCGTGACTCGCGTGACAGCCGTCTCTGGGACGCGCGCAGCGGCGGCGGCAGCGATAATAAAACAAAACATAATAATAAACGACAGAACGGTAAATGCAATAGATATAAATGTGTCAAATACAAATGCCCCATAGACAACAACAACAACAATAGCAACAAAGCGGCCAATGATTAAGCCATAAACATTTGGTCAATTGTCTTGCGGTACTTCTCTGTGCGTGTGTGTGTGCTCCTGACTCTATTCGCTGGCATAAAAAATTGATAGCCAATCATAACTGTAACTGCGATACAAACAAATAAAAAAGAGCAACATTTTATCAAAATCCAACTTCGAACTCGATTAAGTTTCGCGCTATCTTATCGCACCACGCTGCGTATGCGTAATGCCTAATGCCTAATGCCAGCGCCTGAACTGTGAAACGTGTCCAAAACTGAGCAACAAACAAATAGTTAACTAGACAGCTGTGAATTACTTTCACTGCTTTACAAAATATTAATAATAGAAAACAAATTAATTTGTGACGTTAACCAGCTATTTATGGCGCATGATATCATTAACTGACCCACATAATTGAAGAGCATATTCTCGAGCATGGACGATGGGCGCTTCAAATTGAAATTTGCCCACTTTGCTTTTAATTGGGGCTTGAACTTGACTACTGTGCGGCAGATATTGCTTATCTATTTCGGGGAATTGTGCCTGTTGATAAGCTAAAGTTTATCTGAGTGTTAGATAAAAATGCGAGGCATTTATTTTGCTTTGTGTTGCATTTTTCGTAGAATTTTAGAAGTAAATATATTTGTAATAATTTGTAATAATTTGTTTGATAAAAACTAAGCATATCCCATTTAAAATGAATAAATACCTTTCGATATAAGTATGACAGATAAATTTTTTAGCTGATCAACTCCAACTTGTGAAAAATTAAACGTATCATACTTTAATTATATATTGTTTTAATTATTATAATACATAAAATGATATATAGCCTATTATATATAACATATTACATATAACAAAGTCAAGAATTGAATATTGACTGATTTTCGTTTATATTCCTCTAAATGTATGAACAATAATTCAACTTCACATACACCTCAAATATTCGCCAATATTTTTTGTCGATCAACTTTATAATTTCTTACAACTGCGATTCCTACTCAGTTGTCCGAATGCCTGAGTTACACAGCTTACATCTTTATTCATACTTAAAACATATCTGAACTTCTCTATTCAAATATTTGTTATATTTGTACTCCTCTATCATTAGATAAATGCTCTGATAAATGTTGCAATATTTGCAGCTTAGCACACTCAATTATTGTTGCATTAATGTGTGTTAAATTTGACCAGCATGAAAAACTTGTATATCATAAGCTGTGGGCTAAAAAAAATATAAACAATTAGATAATTAATTTGGGTTCACAAGCGGAAGCTGCAAACAGCTGCCACAAGAGCTGCACAGTTGCAGGCCGCGCACAAAGCTGGCTAATTAATTTTATTGAATTAAACAGTTTTTAAATAAATATACAAGTGACAGTAAACAAAAACAACAAATGAAAACCAAACTGATTTTCAATTAAATAATTAAGTACTGCAATTTATAGCACGTGCTCGTTATGCTTAATTAATGTAATTAATGCTATAATGTTTCTGTTTTACTCAGTGAAATACAACGTGAAATATAATTGCCAAATAACAACAACAACAACAAATATATAACGTCCGCAACATTTGCTGTCCAGTGGAAAAATATTTAAATAAATAATAAAATAACAAACTCAATCAACATGCGTCGCAATATTAAATTAATTGTCTTCGTCAGCATCATTTGGATGTTCGTAATGGTCTATTACTTTCAGTCCAGCACGGAAAAGGTGAGTACTCGCTTTCAATTTGATTTACAGCTTGAATTTGACGCATTTCCCTGCCCCCACCCCACTATCCACTCCTCACCTAACTATTAGCTTTCTTCCTGCGCTTCTTCTTCTTTAATTTCCTACCTCTTCCGCTCCACGAGCATTGATCATCCAACGTTACGTATGCCACTTGCATAGTAATTATTTACCAGTTATAACAACTACCATGACCAAAGCTAAAGCTACAGCCAGTATATAGCTACTACTTCAGCATTGCCTTCTCTCTCAGTCGCACTCGCTCTCTCTGTCCCCCGCCCCCGTCCCCCGCCCTCTCCCACTCTAGCTCTGACACATAATTAGCCGCACGTCTACGGGCAGGTAGCAAGTGCAGGAACGCCCTGTGACGCCCACAAAACTGCGTATCTCTATTTGCAGTTGACTTGGCTTACGTTTTTATATACCCTGTAAACGCGTGCAAGTGCAGAAGAGGGCATGTTAGACAAGTGTGCTCAGGTTGTAGAAGATATCTATGTTATATAGAAATATATATATATACATCATATATCAATATTTACTCAGATTTTAAGACAAAATCTTTTGAAACTTTTTTAATTACATTTATATTAAATTAATCAAAATTTTAAATTAATTAAAATATTTATTATAATTTAATTTAATATTATATTATGAGGCATTTGGATGTATATATATTTCGTATTTGTACAAAATTAATGGAAATAATTAATATATTTATTAATTTATTATTTTATATAAATATGTATATATTTGTTTATGTATATAGATGTATGTATCTTTTTTTTATAAAAAGCGAAACCCTGGGCTTGAGTCTTTTTCGTTTTAAATATGTGCATTCATTTATGTATATATTTATGTATATATTTTTAATGGCACTTTTAATAAATATATATTTATTAAATTATACAGGTATTGTGTTAGTCCATCAAAACTTGGCTTTTCTTACAGTGGCCCTTAATACCATAGTTATTTTTTCGTTGGCTCTTCCTTTTTAATTAGAGTCTCAGCTTTTTACTGCTGACAGTTGTGTCATTCAAATGTGGGCGGTTACACATGGCGTATGCGCAATTTTCCAGGTAATTTGGGTCATCTGCAAGTGCTCGACTCTCGAATGACAAACGTATTATCGTTGTTATCGTTATCGTAATGACTATCGCGATGACTTTTTGAACTATATGCAAATAACAAACTCTTTATCATCAAATTGCAATAAAAAATATGAACATATATAAGCCCTATTAAAAGGGCGCCACATTTGACAGATAAAAAAAGCAAATGAGTATAAAAAACAGTTATCAACTGTTGCAATCAATGACAAATCAGTTATCGCATATTTTTTATTGTTGCCCGCCAAAATGATTGTCACCCATCAATTTTATGTAACAAACAATATTTGTTAAGCAATCAAATGGCTTTCAAATATGTTGGATAAATAGAAAGTCGCGCTTAAATGTATTATTTGAAATATAAAAATATACATTATAAATATATAATATTATATCAGAGTTATTTTATATTATAATACATGCCCCATAAAAAATATATATTTCAAATATATTATATGAAAAGAAAAATCGCATCGATCTATCCAGCAATAAAATATATATCAAAAGAAAATCCCATCGATCTCTCCAGCAACAAAAATCTATAGAATAAATGTAGCACCAATCTTTCCAGCAACAAAAATCTATAGAATAAATGTAACAAATTTCGTTTAACTTAAACATTTTATAGAGTCATCTGTTATTCTTGAGCAGAGTTTTCAAACGTTCCAATTCTGTACATAATTCAAATGAACGAGCTGCTATTATTAGCTCATAGATAAGGCCACTTAACATTGCCATTCTCGGCACTTCATAAATCTTAGCAATTCTGTGCTTTATCGCCAAATAAAAAGCAATCCAGCAAATAAATCAATAGTGCTGCAAATATGCTTAATAAAAACGTAAATGGCTAATCGAGAATGTTTTTATTTTGGCTTGGGATTAAAACAATTTATATTTCTTGTGTCAAAAAAAAAATAAAAAATGAAGGGAAAACGAAAATAAAAGCAAAGAAAAGTAAAATTCCAAACGAATTGTACAAAGTCGATAAACTCAATTACTTGCAACTGTATTTCCTGCATTTTCCACAACAACAAAAATAAGTAAGAAAATCAAAATAAAAGAAATCCAGTTTCTGTGTATAAATGATTTTAGCTCAACTCAATTCAGTTCGACTGTGGCTGCGGGCTGGGTTGTCTGTAAAGCCTCTGCCCAAACATATTTATATATGTATGTTACATGTATTACATACATACATATTTTTATAATCGAATTTATTCACGCATCGTTTTGCCTTTCAACATTTCGACACTTTTGGCGTTTTTTTTTTAATCATTGCAAAGATCAAAAGTGTAATTAACAGCGTATTATTGAATTACTTTTTACACTCATTATATGTGCGCTGCTGTGAATGTGTGCGTGGGTGGGGTGTTGGGGGTGAGTATGCGTAGGGGGGGTGGGGGTGGTTGTGTACCCTTTGTGAGTGTGTGCGTGGGCGAGTGTGTGTGTGCCTGGGAAATGGCATTCGCAGGCTTTATTTCCAGTGCTTTTAACATTAATTCAGAGTTTGATTCTTTCATTTTGGAAACATGCGCAGTTTAATAGCTTTCAAGCGGAAAAAATGAAAACATTATTCAGTATACCCTTTTAATACACCTGGAGTGGGTATACCATAACTAACTATGTAACTATGTGTGAACAAAGGTTAAAGTTATGTATTTCAAACACCACAAAAGTAGTTTCTGATAAGAGAAGTTGATTAATAATATTATCTAAATATACTCCAATCTTCATTCTCTCTCTATCTCTCTCAGTCCCTCTCGCTCTCTCAGTCTCTCTCTCTCTCTCACACACACTCTCTCTTGCTCTCTCTCTCTCTCTCACTCTCTCTCTCTCTCTCTCTCTCACTCTCTCTCTCTCTCTCTCTCTCTCTCTCTCGCACACTTTCTTTTTCTGTATCTATCTATCTATCTATCCCATTCTCTCTCTTTATCTCCCTTTCTCTCTTTCTTCTTCATTCCCATTCCTTCTTTATCTATCCCTCTTTCGCTGCTATCCCAATATAACAAGGGTGCATTGAAAAAAAATCGGTTTCTAATTCGATTGCACTCAAAAACTTATCGATCACTGTCAAATTTGCGTTAACCAAGTCTTAAGATCAGCTATTCATATAACACAATATACTTTTTTAATATTTTTATAGCAACAAGTTATCTCACAAATAGGGTATTTAGGCTTCGACTTTGCGACAATAGTTGTAACTTTTTTTCAGGTTTATTTATTTGCGCATGTTTGCATTTTATATGACACATATCAAATGCATCTATTACCCAGTCCCCTTCGTTTACCTCCAATTACCGAGAATCGCACAATTCAAAAGGTTTTTCTGAGTCGCCCACACAAATTGCTGGTTTTTTGCTTAAAAATGGTTTGCACTATAGTTGCGACTCGTGTAGGGAGATTGATGGTGAAATGCGGGCGTTTATGCGTCAGACCAGGAGTGGCTTTAGGGGTCTGATTGTTGGTTTTCGTAAACTTAACGATCAGCTCACAGCCCTGGACACCCAATTTAATAGCCTTAAACTGTTAGATGAGTCTCCGGGGCCTAAAAAGCCCACTCCTTGTGATCTGCCGTTGCCTAATACCCTTCAGCCTCCGACTGCTATGCAGCAGCCTACTACACCGATTACACAGCAGCTCATCTCGTTTGTTACTCCGGTAGCTGTGAGGTCTGCTGTGGACACTGATTCTGTCCCGAAAAGTGTGACATCGGCACGAGAAAAACCAGTCGAATTATCCGTGTCGTCCGCTGTCGTGGGTGTTCCGAAAGGGCGACAGCAACAATTAAATTTACAACGGCCGCTAGAAGGCTCGTCGTCCGGACTACCGGCTGTTTTAGGTACCATAGTTAATAGTGTTCCCACTGTCCTACCTGTGGCACCTAAACCTCTAGTCGGTGTTCCACCGAAGAGACTTATTTTTGTTTCTAGGCTTGCCCCTCACTTTTCATCAGATGATGTAAAAGCCTTTATACAGGCAAAAATTCAAGCCCCAGGTATACTGGTGGAGAAATTTAAGTTCGCTTATGAAAGGGATATTGCGTCCTTTAAAATAAGTGTTCCGCCAGAAATATTTACTGATATTTGTTGTAAAGAATTCTGGCCGGAGCACTTAATAGTAAAAGAATATAAGGCCAAAAAGAAAAATCGGACTCCGATTTCATTACCACCTATTTCTAATGGCGCATCAACTTTAGTTGCTGCGTCAAAAAACTAATTCCATCTTTCGAGCTTGCCTACCAGAATGTTAGAGGTCTTAAATCTAAACTCGCTAAACTGTATTTAGACTCTCTTGCTTTTAATTTTCAAATTATCGCTTTTACTGAGACCTGGCTGAAGCCGGACATCTCAGACTCTTCAATTTTTACCTCCAAATACACCCCTTACAGATGCGATCGAGCTTCCCGTATCGGAGGAGGAGTACTCATAGCTGTCGAGTCTGCTCTTTCGTCGGAACGCATTGATCTTCCCATCTCAGAGATTGAGTTGGTGGCTGTACGAGTTGTATTTGGTACTCTTTCTATCTTTATTACATGTTCATATTTACCTCCTCTATCTAATTTGTCTACCTATCAAACCCATCTTAATGCTATTAAATCTATCTCCTCCCTACTTTCTGATAGAGACCTTTTAGTAGTTCTTGGTGACTTTAATCTTCCCGTTGTCGAGTGGTCATCGCCATCAGACTCAAACTTTCTGTTGCCGTCATCGTCAAACGAATTTATTGATGGTCTACATGAAATGTCCTTACGGCAGGTTAATTGTGTGCGCAATTCAAGAAACAGATCTCTTGATCTAATTTTCGTGTTGGATTCGTTCAACAGTGTTGTGCACAGGATCAATCCGCTTACACTTCCTGAAGACCTTTTTCATCCAACTC